AGCCAAGTAGAACTGATTCAGGAGAGGCTGGCCCAAGTGTAAACACTGGCACACCAGCCAGAGCTGGTTGATGCCCCATCCCTGGCAACATTCAAGATCAGCTTGGACGGGACTCTGAGCAACCTGATCTGATGAAGGTGTTCCTGCTCAATGCAGAGGGTTGGACTAGATGACACTGAAGGTCCCTTTCAACCCAAACCATTCCATGAAAAGTGGGTGCTGTGTTTCCATACTGCATTTACTTCTCTAAGCATGTCTTCCTGTCAGAAGGATTTTATTAATCATTCCATCTAGCCTCATATGGCTCTGAATCCTACAGTAAAGTTGTAATCTGCCAGTGGGTCTGCAACAATTGTGTTGAGATTACATATCAGATGCCTCTGGATTGATTTATGTGGCTCCTTCTCATAAAATAACCTATATAACCTATAACCTATAAGATAACCTATAATCTCATAAGATAAAAAGATTTGCACAGACACTGCAGATCCTGTGCACAGATCCAGGTAGCACTACTTGGCCTCTGGTGGAACTCAACATATAAAACTCTTCCTTCTTCTCTCAGACCTGCTAAAACAAGGGGAGTGTAGCACCACTCCAAAGATGTGAATGGCTCTGTATCCCTCCTGCCCTACTTTGGAGCTGTGAGGAACCAGTTCAGCCTGTTGAATTGTCCCTGAAGGAAAAAGAACCAAAGATATAGAAATCCTATGGAGAGCTACTGGAACATGACTTTTAAAGCTGGTTATGGTTGTCAGCAATACTGAGGAGCTCATGGAAGATGTTAAGGAGTACAGTAAGTTTGTCTTTTCTGAAAAAAGAGGCTTTTTACAAACAGCGTGAAAACCAGCAAAATTGGAACCAAAGTGATGACAAATACAGTGAAGAAGTAATGGTGGCCATCAGCAACAAATTCTACTCAAAGCTCAAATGAACTGTGGAATAGTATTCCATATTTCCATAATATTCAATAGTAAAGAGCTACTTTACTAAAACAAACTGACAAGAATCTGCCTTCCCCCCAGAAAAAACCCAAAAAATAAACTGAATCCCAGTTCCCAATTTGCTCTGTGGTACAACAGACACTGTGAGGGCACAGTGGAGGTGGCAGCTCCCTGAGGGTTGGTGGCCAGGAGCCAGCTGCAGTAACACAGGCAGCAGGACAGCTGGGGACCAGCTACAACACCTGAGTGAGGCAAGCAGGGCACACCTGGCACAGCATCCGGGGTCTAGATGGCTAGGGAAGTCTCCAGGGATGAGGAAGGTCTGAGATCAAGCATGGAAATCAGTCCTCAGGTCAGTGTTGGGTCCAGTGATGGTGACCGAGGTCAGACATATTCCAGTGGTTGCCAGGCAGGCCCATTGTGATGAGGCACATCTGAAATCAAGTGAGGAAGTCAGACCATGGATTTGCAGGTAAATTAAGTTTGTGACACATTTACAAATTTATTATTTTTATCCAGGGAAGCTTCCTTCCTTTTGTCACTTCCTGCAAGCATTTGATCCCTACCCCAGATCATCTTGTCTGTTGACTCAGTCTGCAGCACTGGGTACCTGTGCCAGCTCACAGGATTCCACAAATCAACATGAGTCAGTCCCGATCTGTCTCTGAGTAGCAAACTCCAGCAGGAGAACCAGAGCTTCAGGGAAAAGTTTTTGAAGCAGTCCTCAGAAAACGTGCTTGTTTTGAGTCATTTGTGGTCACAGCACAGTGCAAGGCTCAATGGTCTGTGGAATGCATTGGTTTGAGATATGATAGTGAACCACAGCCTTTGGGCAGTAGCAAAGATGACTTCTGATCACTGGAAATTGTTATTTTTCTTTCTCTTTTTCTTTCTCTTTTTCCCTAATATTACATTTTTCTTTTTTCCCTAATACTACATTTAAGCTGGTCTTCCAGTGTTGTGGTGCAATACTCCACTCAGTAGCAACTAAGATCGACACTATAAACATCAACTATGCAGTCTCTAGGCAGGGAGCCTGCATTTTGTGCTCTGAGAAGAGTCTTATGTATTGTAAGTATGAAGAGACATTTAAAATATGCATACTTATAAGCATGGAGAGGTGGGTTGATATTGTTTATCAGTCTTGTTTTGAACACTTGTAACAGTTGGGAAAAACAAAGTAGGGATCAAGCCTGTGAGCACAGTCCTGCCCTTCAGGATGAAGAGCACTTATATAAATACTTGATTTTTGGTTTTGTGTGAATAGTAGACAGATGAGTTTGTTGAATAATCTCATGTTGTTAAGGGCTGCTTTGATTCTTCAGTAGGCATTTAAAAATTTTAAATGCCCTGTAAAAAGACCAATAACTGAATGTAATACAAGATTTTGTTAAGAATGCAGGAAGAATAATTCTAAACTTCCATGCATGTATTTAGTACTGTGTCACTTGTGATTCAGAGTTGCAAGAGGCCTTTGGATGGGAAGCCTTCACCAAGATATTTTCTGAACACCAAAATATGACTGAGCTCCCAGATGGTGATGACTCAAAAATGAATCTGCAGGCAGAAACCTTTTCATGTCTGGTCAGGAGGACTTTGACTCATTTCTTTAAGGCCTGGGGATACCCAGTCTGGGCAAACCCTTCCCAGCAGCTGGCTGTTTCTTTCCCCATCTGGTCAGATGATCCCATGAAGCAATATATCTGCTAAGCAGGTTTTGACTCATGAAAATGTGACTGTCCTAAAGCCAGTGCTCTGCAGTAGTTTTAACTGGTGTCTGAATGGGGTGGTGCTCTAATGAATCTGAGAAGTGTCTCTGCATTGTATATGTGACAGAAGAGTTTGTTCCTGGCTTCCTCCCAAATCTGCCTTTTTCTGTGTGGGTCCCACTACTTCCTTCCCCAACAGAAGTAATTTTGACCGCAGAAGAGGAAGCATTGGCTCTCTTATTACCAATGAAACCAATCAACCCCTTTCTATTTTTTACTTTCTCTGTTTCCTTATTCCCAAAATGTTCTCTGTTCCAGACTTATTCTGATTTCAGGTATGCAAAGTTTCTTAATTATAATCATTACAAGAAGAGTTGGAATGGGGGAAAATGTCACTTTAAAAGCAGAGGCACATTAGGAGATAACAAAGCTGGAAATAAATGGAAGAACTCGGGTGAAATTATGGCTATAGCCATGAGAAATGAGGATGATAAATGAGGATGATCTTTTTGAGGAAAACCTTGATGGACCATGCCGGAGAGGCCCTGATGTGTATTTAATTGTTCTGAAAGAGGTTGCCTTCATGCTCTGCTTTCAGAGTTGGCTACTATGTAGTGAGAAACAGCTGCTTTAGCTCATGTCAGAAGCAAAAGAGTGTTCAGGCAGTGAAGTTACCTCCTTGATCCTTAGCTAGAGTAAATTTGCAGACATCTAATGCATGTAAAATTGTGGCAACTCAGTCTGCGTAAGAATCTGAGACAGCAGGTGCCTCACCTAGCAGGATTGAATGTCATGGGAGGAACACAACATTGGAGTGTGTTTACAGTGGTCTGTTTTGATCTCCAGTCTAAACAACCAGATCCAGATCTATGTCCAGTTCTTAAATGCTACATTGAATTTCCCCTATGTTAAAACATGGACTATAGCACAAAGCCATTTTTTATGGTGCATTTTGAGATCCTGAGCAAAGCAATTCTTTGTCTTATGGCTGTGTTTTCTCTTTCTAGTGAATGTTACAGAATTCTTACCTTGCTGTGGAGGCATTGATGCACCACAAGAGGCTGCAGTGACAGAGTCAGAGGCACTGTGCATCTCCTCCTGATCTCATGAAGGTAGATCACAGCGACACCAAGAGAGTGCAGGTGACTTGCTGTGAGCAGGAGATGGTGCTGGAGTGTTGGACCTCATGATCAGGTGAGGCATTTCCAGGAAACCAGCAGATTGTCCAAAAGCCTGCCTAGATAAATGATTTATAATTAAGCAGCAGGATGTGAAAATGCTTGCTCAGGTATATAAACTGATTCCATATAAAATAAAAAAGTGTTTTTATTCCCTTGTAACCAGCTAGAGACATAAAGGCTAAAATAACAGGATTTGTCTTAGACAACTTGAGATAAACAAAGGATAACCACCGTGAACTGGACAAGTGAAGAACTGGGGGTTGTGGATCTCTTGGATAACATGAACTCTGCAAGGCCAGCAGTACCTGAATTAGCACTAATACCTTACACAAGACTGCTTAGGAAATAATTTCAGAAACAGTAAATTTTAAAGGACAGAACAGACATGTGTCCAGTACCAGAGCTTCTTTAAATGTCATTTCTCTCTTTTATTTCTCCCAAACAACAATGTATGCTCTTCATCTGCAGTCTTAGCAAGAAAAGGTAAAAGGAAACAATAAACAATATTTAAAAGGAAAAAAAAAAAGGGAATAAAGGGGGAAAAATGAGAGACAGCAGGAGTGCAAAGAAAATAAAGAATTGGAGAAATAAATGTTGTAAAGGAACATGAAAGAATCTGAGGTGGGATAAAACAGAAAAAGAGAAGGAGTAGAGGTGTAATTCTCTGCTTTGTCTAAAAAAAGAACAGATACCCTTGGAGGAAAATTTAAATCCTTATAAAAGATAGTGTCTGCCAAGAAAAACACATACATTTCACTTTATTTCATCACTTGGCTTGGCAAGGATAATGATTTATTAGAGAAAGTCGGGTGTATCCTATCCTTAGCTGTCAGAGCTAAACATAAAGCATGCTCTGCATACAGATGTAATTAATAAGTCTGACCATAAGAATCAACACTGGATGTCCTTCTAACATGGCTCTAATTATGTTTTTCCCGCTGAAGACTGCATCTCAAAGACTGGGCATCATGAGCTTTCTGGAGGAAAACCAGAAGCTAGCTCAGGTTTGAATCACGAGAGAATTTCGCTGCAGCAGTCAGAGTACCTGCACTCGATGGTGTGTGTATTCTCAGAAGTGAATGTCACTGTGGCTCCTTTCCTCAGACCCAAGCTCCTTTCCAAAGTAAAAGTTAATGCGCCAAGGAGTGGTAAGCATCCAGGTCTTGTTCTGAGAGGCAGCTGGCATGTGGCCAAGATGTCCACATGAAATAAAGGTCTGCAGGTGTCATCATGAAGAATGCTATCCTGATAAACTTTTTGTCCTTCCCACCCAAGCCCTGGGTTCAGTATGCAGGGATGTCCTTCTGAAGCTTTCTGAAAGTGCTGTACCTAACTGTCTGCTGTCATCTCTACCTCTTCCTGTGCCATCTGCTGCCTCCTGAATCAAGACAAACTTGAGGGGTAAAGACTGATTTTTATCTGTTGGAGATAGGCACCTCCATCAGCCAAATTCATATTGAAGAGGGGATCAGGAAGATCCCTTCAACAATTCTGTAGGCAAACCCAGCATCAGCTCTCTCCCAAGATCCCTCTTTTGTCACGACATCTTAAGAAAAACTTTGTTTTCCAAATTTGGGGCAGGGAGACTGTTTCTAGCAAGGTACGTGCATTTTCTTGCAAACCGATCTCCTGGTGTGGGTTTTGCTCTGCCCCGTCAACCTCCCAGGAACCAGAACTGCAGCACCCCTAAAACCGCTTGTAAAACATTGGTCACGCTCTGCGTGTCTTATCTGCCTCTCTTTCTTCCTCAAAACCCTGTTGCTGCATAAGTTGCAGAACTGAGCTGGGGGAAATCGAGAAGTCCATTGCAATGTTTGGGTTTGTGGTCATGTTGGACAAAAAAAAAAGTTTTCTCCATTGTGAAAGTATCCAGCAGCTTTAGAAACTAGGAGGCAAACACTTTGCAAGAGCCAAGCTTTTGGTCCAGTGGCTAAACCAGAAACCTGGAAAATATACTTCTTCAGGCAGAAATTACAAAAATTTGTACTCACATTTCTGATGGGGGAAAAAAAAATCACCCAGAACTGATTTTTCAGGTTGTATTTTTAGTTCCAAACTGGAAACGCCCAGCTCCTCAAAGAATATAGATAGCGTTGATGAAAGGGAGGAACATACAGACTGGAATTTGGGAAATTTTAAGGAAGCCGAACATTGCTCAAGATTTCTGTGTATCTAATTTGCAGTGATGCCTCTGATAGAGGTCTTCCACCCTTCTCTCTGATTAGAAATTTCTCCTTAGGGGACTCTGGCTTTTTTCCTTCTTGTAACATTTAATTGCTTTCTCTCCCCTTTATTGCTATGCCTCGTCCTGCCACATCTTAGCAGAATCTCCAACATCCTTCGTTTTTTCTGGGCAAACTGCCTGGCACTGAATAATACACAGCCTGCTCTGTTTCTGTCTTCACAAATGATTCTCCAAAGTGTTCAGGACCTTCCTCACGTGCTCTACAGATGAACATTACATTGTTCCTGCTCCCAGCTGGTCCAGCACACTCAGCAATATTCTCATCTACAGGTGCTGAACACATTGAAAAGTTAAAACCTCTGTGTTGGGAGGCTGAACTGTGGGAATCATGTCACACATCCTCACGCAAAGAGCAGTATTAACATTTAATAAATTAACATTTATTATTTTTTTTTTTAAACTAATCAACACACAATGTGCTGAAGGAGAAGGAAACACTACAGCCATGAAAAATTTTCCCCTTCAGAGGAGGGACAAGGATACTCCACTGAATGCTCTTCTTTCAAATTCTGCTCCAGTGATTTGAAGGACAAGTATCCTTTCATGAAACAGTGATGGTCTTTTCCACATCATTGAGATATTGTCTGGATCAGGAGTCAAGGAAAGTGATAGAGAATTAGGACCCTTGTTTCTGAAGGAGGAGAGTAGAAAGGTTCACAGTAGGTCATTGACATCAGCCTGAGCTATTTCATCCAGAACTGATCTCCAGCTTGTAGAGGGATGAAGGGGCACAGGCTGGGAACTAAGGTACTTTGAAAATTGGATTTTATGTCCTTTCTCAGAGAAGTTTGACTGCCTGTTCACAAATTCGATAGCAACTTGTGATGCAAAGGACATTATTCCAGTTACTGTAAGTGTTGGGGTCTGTCTTTCCCTTGACATGAATTGCAGCACATTTTTCTGCAAAGAGTAAATTGGGCTCCCCAGGCTTCCAGAACCTGTAAAAGAAAGTTCCTTTATTGGAAATACACTAGCGTGACAGTGGATGTGGGGTCACCTTAAACACTTGTGGAAGAGAAAAGGAAAGTCACTGTGACAGAAATCAGGAGCCATAGTTTTGAATAGAAATTTATGCAAGTTTTCTGACTTGCAGAGCAGCTGAAGACAGAAACCCCACTCTGACAAATACCTGCCTTACACAATATATTGGTCACTTGGACTGAGGGCATGAATATTAGGGCTCTCCTCACTCCACCAGGATACTCACGTGGCTGTACTCTCATATGGAGTCTGATCCACCCACTGCCACTTCCCAGTTTTGTAAGCAGCTAAACCTATGTAGTATTTTGTTTCATAGAGGCTAGTAGCTTTTTCTTTTGTCAAATTGAAAAGGAACTCCTGGAAAAAAAGCACAATGTCCATGAGTGGCAGGACTGAGCACACAGAGGCATCAGGAATCCCCATGATGTGGGGCTGGTGGCAGAGGGGGCTGGTGCTGCAGAGGTGCAGACAGGACCTTTCCCCTCCCCTGCAGGACAAGGAGGGCTCTGAGTCCCCTCCAGGGCCCAGCACTGTGGCTCTGCCTGCTGGGTCCCTCTCTCTGGGGCCCTGTGCACTCACCTGCTCTGTCTTGCTGGTGATCACCACCAGCTGGGAGCCCATCCCAGTGCAGTTCCGTGCACTCTCAGCACAGTTCATTGTGTCAGTGGACAGGAAATAGCAGCTTCCTTGAAACCTTCTCCAGCCCTTTGGGCAGCACATCCAGCCATCCACTATGGGGGAAAAAAATCCTGCTTTTGAACAAGAAGTGCTGTCCTTCATGGCTGTGAGTTCAATGTAGGATCCCAGGTGTTAGGAATGTGGTTTGATCCCAAAGCCTGGACAGAGATAAATGCTCTTTTCTGCTCTCCACAAGTAAAGCTGTCAGCAGCCTGTCACAAGACCCCTGCCTGAAGGAGCCTCTTCCCTTTCTCTCTCTGTCCTGCCATGTCCATGCAACCTCTCTTTGGTGAAAGACATGGTTTCTGCCTTACCCTTCCTGAGGAAGCAAGATGAGAAGTAGCTGGTTTGTGCTTTTCTAGAAACACTTCCATCAGAGAAGAGCTGTCCAAGCTCTCAGCTCATGCAGATTCAGAGCCAGCTCCAACAGCCTTGCTGCCACCACAAGCAGTTCCTTACACAGCCAGCTTATCCAAGCGACCTGCCTTACGCTCAGAGATTCAAACGGTGGATTAAAAGCTACAGATGTGTTCCCACAAAGGTCATGGCTGCATGAGAAGGGATCTCTGACCTGAGTTTGAGAACTTGCACTACCAGCATTCCAGCACTCCATATTACCATCACTTCATGTGGGACTGCAGCTCAGCTCCCCAGCTATTCTGAGCTAAAAATCATCCTCCCTCCTCTGTCCTCCACACTGACCATCATGCTTGTGTGAACAGGCAGTGAGCCAGCACAGGAAGTAGAGCTGGATTGAACCAGCCAGTATAAAAGCACCTGCATCTAGATAAGTCGACTTGACTTGCAATAGAGGGTTTGTGTGAGGGGAAGAGTAGGAAGGTTGGTCAAATGCAGGTATGGAATGACCCACCCTCTTTCACTGACCTGGAGCATGTTTTCATAGCATTCTTACTAAAGATGTACAAGAGAGTGTCTTACCTCAATTCCACAGATTCCTTCCTTCAAACAATCCACTTGTGACTGGCAGTAATATTCCCCACCTTGAGGGTGGTTGAGGGGAAACCAAACAAAATGTTGGTGAAGTCCTTTTGTTACTTATGAGGCTCTCAGCATCACTCACCTTTCTCTGCAGAACTGCTGGGGACACAGAACCACTCAGTAGAGTTCTGGAGGAGAATCTTGTAATGGCCAGAGCTTCCATCAAGTAAGGCCACTGAGAAGAGAGGAGAGCAAAGCAAAGTGCTATTGTCATCCTTTTCATCTCGTGCCTGAGCAACCTGTGCTATCCTCTAACTTCTGCTTTGGAGCCCCAACACAGACTGTTTAGTAACAAGCTATGAAATCTGGATTGAGCAACAAGGTGAGAACAGCAGGCCACTTCTCCCACTACCAGTCATTCCTTCTCTCAGAAGACCTTCTCTCATCTTGGTTGTCTGAGAGACACACTAGCCCAGATAACAAACCCAGATTAGAAATCTTCTAAGGAAGGGTTGAGGAAAGGGACAAGGAAGTCATGGCATAAGCCAATAAGACTAGACAGGCCTGTTTTGGTGAAAGGCATTTGCCTGCCTGGAAGAGATACTAGGATATGGGCTTTCACCTGAAAAAAGCAGTCACTTGAGCCCTTAATGTTGAGGAAATAAAGACACCCTGGAACTCACCAAGCCAGAGACCAAAGGTCCCAATGGCAGCTTTGATTGCAAGGGCAAAAATAAGGAAGACCCAGATGTTCAGCCAGGAGCAGCCTCTCTCTTCTGCTGGGGCTGGAAAATACAAAGCAAGAGTGAGCATGTCCCAGCCCAGAGTTAGGAGCAGGATAAGCCAGGGGGCTCTGTTCCCCAGCACCCTGCTGCTCCCTTCTTCCAAGCACTGGGAGCCCCTCAGGTGCTGGAAGCAGGTCCTGCTGCCTGTCCCTGGCAGTGGCTCAGAGCCACAGAGTACAGGAGCACAGGGGCTGCCCTGAGGCTCTAGGAAAAGCTCGTTCTGCCAGCCTGCCCACTGCCCACTGCCCTCATCTCTTGCTTTGCTCTTGCCCTGAGCCCCATCTCCAGGTGCCCACCGCACCATGCCTAGGATCCATCCCAGCCCTGCCTTTCCCCAAGCCCTTTGGCAGGAGGACAGAAAGGAAGGAAGGTTTGGGGCTTACCTGCACTTCCAGGACTGACTCTCACTTGGCCATTCATCATCTCTGCAGGAGGATCACTCTTCTCCAAGGGTCCCTGCTACCAGTGTGGGCACAAACAGCTTTCCTCCTGCACAGGGCACCTCCCACTCTGGTGTACCCCAAAGCACATGGACATTGGGAAATTTTCATCATTTCCCTGCCAGGACATTTCACAAGATGGTCATTGCACAGCACCAAGTCACCAAGAGAAAGGAAAGCAGATGAAGGACAGCATCACTGCAGCTCACACAATCTCCCTTTGCCCAGCCTCGGGCACTTGCACAGGGCATCCATGGCCTTCCCTCTCTGCTGCCTGATCTCTCCTGCTCAGGGTCCATGTGTGTGACAATGCACACAGAGGCAGGTGTGTTTGGCATTGGCTAGCCAATGCCAAATATATGGCTAGCTGGTTAAACCCACTGAGCACAGCCTGCAAAAGGGAACCAAAAATGAAAGGAAAGCAGATCTGTGACTGAGTCTGGGCAGTGACCATTGGCATCCTGAGCCCAGAAATCCTGAGCACAACAGAGAACTTGTGACACTGGTTTGGTCTCATTGCATTGGAAGGGAGCTGGGGCTTTTAGCAAAGGGGTTCAGGATAACCTGGCACTGAGGGGCAGAAGGATCACTTGGCAGTGCCAGAGTCCATGTGCCTGACAGATCATGAAGCCTCACTTGGTTGTGTCCGCAAATGCTGCAGACATATGTGGAACAGACTGAGATGATCCATCAGCTGGTTTCTCCTGTGGACAGCAATGCATGGGTGCAGAGACACAGGAATAGGAGAGCTCACAGCAACAGCACAGGCATTTCAGCTGAGGCATCACAAGATCAGGGTACAGAACTGCTTACAAGGGAGGACAAGCCTGAGCTCTCTGCAGAAGACATCCCCGGATTCTGTTGTTTTGTGCACAGCAGGCTGCAGGCAGGGTCACAGCCTACATTTCTAAACATCTCTATGTAAGCAGTGTTCACAAGTTCTCACCCCACAGAAAAACACATTCACAAGACTTGTGGAACCTCCAGCCTCCCACCAGCCATGCAGGAAATGCAGCTGCAAGAGCACATCCCCTTTGTGGGAGCACGGCATCCCCTGCTCCCACACACTTGCTGCTGGAGATGTGGGGTTCCTGAGAATCCGCAGCTCTCCCAGCAGCCTGTGAAGCACAGGTGAAAGCACAGGGTCACACTGTCACACTGCAGAACTGTGGATGTGTGCCTGCTGCTCCCCTCAGTGCCATCAGTGGGGTCAACCACAGCACTCAGCTGCCAGGGAGCTTCTTGCACACAGAGGTGGCCAAGCTGCAGAGCTATGGGAGAAAGTGAAACTCCCATAGTTTGGGAGCATGGGCACTGGTGAGGCCACACCTTGAGTATTGCGTCCAGTTCTGGGCCCCTCAATTTAGGAGGGATGTTAAGCTATGAGCTCTCCTAGTCCTGTGTCTCTGCACCCATGCATTCCTCTCCACAGGAGAAACCAGCTGATGGAACAAGAGCAAAAGCTGTGTTTCCATCTCAGTTCATTCAGAGGACATTGGGACCCGGTAGGGATCCTTTATCCTTAGAGATGGCCTTAGGAATATGAGACTGCTGGACTTGAACCCAGATCTCCTTGAGAACTGCTAGAAACGCCATGTAGGGCTTCAGCTTTTGTAGTCATAACCAAGGCAAAATTACTGATCTGTCATGCAAAGGGACTCCAGCACCATCCACTGATCCTTTCTGTCCTCCAGCCCCACAAAGAAGGCATAGTGAAGGCACTGCCGAAATCTCCATCCATATTTGTAAAGGAAATAGTTAAAAAGTGTATTGGGAAATACTCTTCTGTTCTCAGAATGCACCTGGGCACAGCCCAGACTCTGTCACAAATCTGCTTTCTTTTCATTTTTGGTTCCCTTTTGCAGGCTGTGCTCAGTGGGTTTAACCCTTTGCTAGCCAATGACAAATATACCTGCCCGTGTGTATATTGTCACACACATGGAGCCTCAGCAGGAGAGAGCAGGCAGCAGAGAGGGAAGACCATGGATGCCCTGTGCAAGTGCCTGAGGCTGCGCAAAGGGAGATTGTGAGAGCTGCAGTGATGCTCTCCTTCATCTGTTTTCCCTTGCCTTCATGAGATTGTGTGTTGCAATGATTCTTGTATGAAATGCCCTGGCAGGGAAATGATGGAAGTTCCTCAATCTCCTGTGCTGTGGGTACACCCAGGATACGGTTTTTTAAGGCCACCAGCTTAAGGCCTTTGCACGCTCCTCAGCAGTGTGGGAGGTGCCCTGTGCAGGAGGAAGGCTGTTTGTGCCCACAGTGGTAGCAGGGACCCTTGGAGAAGAGTGATCCTCCTGCTCAGATGATGAATGGCCAAGGGAGAGTCAGTCCTGGAAGTGCAGGTAACCCCCAAACTTTCCTTCCTTTCTGTCCTCCTGCCAAAGGGGTTGGGAAAGGCAGGGCTGGGATGGATCCTGGGCATGGTGCAGTGGGCACCTGGAGATGGGGCTCAGGGCAAGAGCAATGCAAGAGATGAGGGCAGTGGGCAGTGGGCAGGCTGGCAGAATGAGCTTTTCCTAGAGCCAGGGGGAATGGAAGTGCAGGCAGAGCGTGCCCTGCTATTCCCTTTAGTGCTGTGTCTGTAAACAATGGGGCTGAAGGGGGCTGTCCTTCTGTCATTGCCCTGCTAAAGCTCTCTGCATCACTCTGAGCACAAGTCCCTGCTCCCATCTCTGCTGTCTCCAAGGACACCCCAGCCAGGGCTCCCCAAGAGCTCCCAAGTGCCTTTTGCCCCTGTGGAAACAATCCCTCTGTGGGTCTGGCTGTGCACACCCTGAGCTGGGCACTCACTGCTTTGGGGGACTGTGCCACTGCAGAAAGGGGCTGATGGGACAGAGGCAAAATGCAGGGAGTGAGGGAAAGAAGCTCTAAAGAGAGAGGAAGAGGAGGGAGAGCCACAAAGAGCATTCAGGGAAAGACAGGCTAATGGAAGGCAGCATGGAAG